ATACACAATTGTTAATGTCGTAGCGATAAAGAAACCAATGTTACTGACAACAGTAGCACCTATAGGTACAAAAAAATACAAAGTTTTTGCCTTATTCTCTGAAACAAAAAACAAATTGTTTATACAATACATCTATAACATATTTACAAAATTATAATTAAAAATTCTTAAATTCAATCAAAATTTCAAAAAATACTCCGGTAATAGAAATTTGAAAGTTGTCGATATCACTTACGGCTAAACCAAAATTTTTTTTTGCACATTTCCGGTCGGATAAATTTTTCTGATAAGGGAACATAATCCATGATAGCACATATACTAGTGAGGATGAAAGCAATTCCCCATGCATATATTGAATATATTATTAATTTCTTCTTTTTTTGATGCTTTACACTTTGATGTGAACAGAGTTCTCTATGGAATGCAATTTATATTTAGCTAATTATCATCCAATATATGTATTTAAACATTAAAATTTCTGTGAATTAGGCCTTTCCTTAAAGTTTATTAATTATTTTTTAATTAATTTTATTGAAAAGTATTTTATTTGTCACTCTTTACAAAAATGCTCTTTATAAAAGTTGCTATTTATAAAAGTTCTTGGAATTATCTAAATAAATTACACGCGTAAAGTATAATATAAAATATTTGATTACTTACCTAAATGTCCACCAAATGTCGAAACATATTATATTTAGCCAAAAAAAGCTTGATAAAAACGAGAAATTTAAAATGTAGGCTGGAAGAATAAAATAGATAGTTTACGCACATATTAGAATAGGTAGGATTTATAATTATTATTCATTTCTGCATTGTAAATTTGTAAGAAGGAGCAAATTTAACAATCAACCATGCCTATAATTATTTTTATTTTTATTTTAATTATAATTCTATTTATTTTCTATTTATTTTATAATTCTTGCAACATTTGTAGACTAGAAAATTATTTACACAAATGTGCGTGTTATATGTATATATGTAAATAATAGACAAAATGTATAAATATTATCTATATTGTTTATATTTTTAACTTTCATATCAAGTTATTAAAAAGAAGTAAATATATAAATATTATACATATTGAATCTTATAATTATAAGTCTATTTATATTATATTAATATATTATATATAATATAATATAATATAATATATATGTGCTATACCTAGTGGAATGCAAAGTTTTGATTCCCGTAAATCAATTTGTTGGCCAAAGGGCATAATGATGTATGTGACGAATAACGATGCGACGTGTGCACGTAACGTATAACCATGCATATTTTGGAGTTCTGGCAATATGGAATACATCACGAATGTCAATAAGAGGAATGGCAAAGACACTACAAGACACGCAGATATAAACATCGGAAGTTTAGTCCTTTTATAATTGCAAACAATCACATCATAAATGCTTCGTTTTACGATGGCGATGCAATAAGAAGTCGGTGGAGTTAGTTGATTAGGACCACGGTATAAAGTACCGTTCTTGAGGAACAAATATTCATTGTAGTGAAGTAAAATTCGTCCAAATTCTTGTACAGAACATGGATCGTGGACGGTCATTGGAAATAGTTGATCCAATCTTTTAGTCTCGATATCGTTCTTATATTTGTAGACATTTGGAAAAGAATAATTACCCTGTCCAGCGATGCACTTTCCCTCTAATGTCAGATAATCGCCAAAAGAACAGCAGAGTTGAATGCAGATATTGTTGTTACATTTTTCATACGGAACAATGCGTACAGCCATACTATTATTATAATCATCTGTATTGAAATTTCCATAGCGTTTGTACGATGTGAAATTGTTTCCGCTTTCGGTCTGTATTTGATTTTTATTAATTTCTTGCAATGTAATTGCGTTGTTATCATTGACCTCTGTAAAGTTTGTAACACTTTTACGAAACTTGTACTGTATTACATCGTCATTTATGCGAGAATTCTTCATAAAATTAATATCGAATTGATATTCTGTTTCGTTTCTTGTATAATTTACAGGAAGATTGTATCGTACTGTCAAATTTTCCTCACTGTCGTTCGTAGGATTTTCCCAAGACTCCGAGAACGAAGCAATAAGGAGAAATATGTAGCAGCAATATACGGTATTTGATGGATGCATCGTCAAATCGATATGTCGAATATATCAAACTCACAAAACTAACTTGATTTCTCTTTATGCTTCTAAGCAAATGCTTAATGTGATATTATCAATTGTAAAAACGAACGTGATATCTTTATTTTGCTTTTGATCTTCTAGCGTTGCAATTCGTCATAGCGTCGCACTCTCGTCGAATAATAGTCGTCGATAATAATCGTCAATAATTTAATCTGTGGAAAAAAATCTTTCATCTTTCTTAGCTAACAATAAGATTACAATGAAACTTCCGCATTCTTCGTATCATTATTCTTATTATTTCTATATTTTCCAAAACAATATTTTCAGTCTTTATTGTAATAAAATAAGGAGTAAGAAAAATTATTAGAAATAAGGAATCTATTTGGTCTTGATATATTAAGAATAAGAAGGTTTCTCGTTTGAGGTAACATTCGTTATAAAATTGATCTTAGTAGATTACGAACAATTATCTTCACTCTAGAAAGAGTAATAAGAAGGGAAGGTGTGCGTCACGGCGGGGGCCCGACCACGAACCAATTCGTGAAAATTCGTAATTATTTTACGAAAAATATCACCTCAGCCAAGAATCAAACCTGGTTCTCCTGCTCTCCTGCTTACAGGACAGGTATCTTATCCTTTCGACCACAGAGGCATGAACGCTTATTTATCGCAATAACGTGTTTAGAACAACAATACAATGAGATTTACACATAACAAATAACAAAAAACCAGTATACCTTTATTTCATAAAGTTCTAGAAAAAGAATCTGCATTACTATCCTCGAGTTATTGACGTAATATAATTTTATATGCATTTATCAAAAGTGGAAATAAAAAAAATTTATTTATTATACCTTTTTCCCATAAATTGTTAACATGAAATAATTATACAAATGAAAATAATTTGAGTAAAATATTATTCTTTAATAATTTATAGATTTAAAGATAAATATGATTTGGATAAAATATAGTAAATCCAACATTATGTGTAATTGTGTTATTAACTTCTCAATAAATGATAACGCACTATAAGATGTAGTTAAAGCAAGCAAAGAGAGTAAACTGCTGGAATAAGTCACCGTCTGCATTAAAATAATGTCTATATCTTATAAAAAAGCTATATAAACGTGATAATTTAGAAAAAGAGAAATTTCCGAGAAGTTTTTAATGATAGCATGTTGATTAATCTGGACAATATATGTTTTGGGTTGGGTAACATTACTTTACTTAGTTAACATTATTTAACTAAATTAAATTGAAGTTAATGACTTGTAAAATTAATTTACTTCCAGCTAATTAAATGTTCTGTGTGTAATTATGTTTTCTACTTCCAGCTTGGAGCCCTTTGGCTCTTTATTAATTATCGTACATTTAGTTTTTTTCGCTAATATCTCCATGTTATGTTTCTTTGCTGTGATGTTAAATGTGTGGAACTGTCTTGCAGGCTATGTTCTTCTTGTTTTTTTTTCTCCTCATCTATTATTTTGTTCATTATCAAGTTAAATAGTAATGATCTAAATAAATTTTCCTATTTTTATTCCAATTTTTAATGATATATTCGTTCCGGTAAGTCATGCGTAATAACGTGATCAAGACAAATGAAACATAATATAGAAGAATTAGTAAATGTGACATAATTAGTAAATATGACGTTCCCAAGAAGAAAATTAATTCTTAGTGGCTGTGTGAAAAACGGCATCACATGTGACCCTACATGAGTCTTTCGAATCCAGCCTTTTCTTTCATCGTTAAAGTGATTCGGAAAATTTGTAAAAATTCATAGATATATTTTCAAGTTTCTAGAACTAATATCTGTATTTCATTGTGCAAGAAATTAAAATGTAGTATAAATCCGGAACCTTTCAAAGTGCCGAGAAATTTCTATGAATAGAAAGGCTGTCTGGATTCGAAATATCATTGTAAAGCCACAAATCAATAACAAATGACTTCTGAATAAATTAGTAGGCATTATTTGATATTTTTATGACGACAAAATTAGTCGAAGAAAAAGATGTTGCAAAAAAGTATATTTTTCTATTTATCCGATTATTTCAATATTGTCTCAATTGCCTCGTTTTATAGAATGTCTCATCGAATATCTTGTCATTCCCATTAATTGCCTTCCATTATTGTCGACATCCTTAAATTCATTACATTTTATCACGATTAATGTTAAAAATATATCATCTTAAGAAAGATGTGGACTGAATCTAAAAAGATTATTACTCTTTTTGGAACATTTCTGGAAGATATATCTCAAAATTACACACATTGTTTTCATGAATCCTTTTTCCTCAATCTTAATAAATGAGGTAATTCTAGTCTACTTTATTTGTAGAGCTTTACGCGGGAATAATATTACTAAAGCACACGAGCATAGAAAAAGATTCCTGTTATATTGTTCATGGGATCTTTCCTTCTTGGTTACAATTCTGTCTATCATCGTCGATTTCACGGATATCCTACCAGATTATTTGCAGCCCAGTATTGATAAATATTGTTGGTTTACAAGTAAGTCACAATAACTCTTTCAGATAATGTAATGCGAATTTTCAACGTTAATTATTTTAACGAAATTTTCGCAATGATTATCATACAAGAAAAGATTTGAAGGGTGCTTCACGCTTCCTTACTATTATAATTTATATTGGAAATGGATGAAGTCAAGGATTGGTACAAAATACATTCTAATCAGAAAGTTTATTTGGTAATCAGAGTATCGAGGAGAAGACAAACGTTATAAAGTTATCTTTTGACCATTCCTATCACCGTGCCAAAATTATTCTATAATTAACAAATTTTTCGAACTTCGACTTTTCGACTTTTTTGCGCTAGCGTAAATTCAAGTATCATAAAGCTACGAAGCTCTTGATAAGAACTTCATAAAAATACAAAGCTCTTATACCAAGTCAAAACTGCATACCAAGAAAAAACCGACCTCGATATGTAATATCACTACAATTTTGAAGCATCCATTATAAAGTTAAGAAAAATGCGAGTGACAGTACAATAATGACTACATGTACAATTGTACAATTAACGCTATAAGATATCAACTAAGATTGCTTAACATAAATAACTTGAGGGCCAGATTTTAGACAGTTGATCGAAATATGTCATATCAATATACATACGCGAATCGCAGTATAGTTTATTTGAGACGCGCGATATGTTTACATGAATGAAAACGCGAGTAACGCGAGTAACGCTTGCTTTCTATTGCAAAATAAATGTAGAATTAGATATTTTTATAAATAGTAATTAGAAAAAAATAAATAAAGTAAATATAAAATAAAGTAAATAAATAATAAAAAGAAGTAAATAATAATTAGAAAAATAACTATGATAAAAGTTGTGTCCATGTGAGGTACCTCATACTAACAAAGTACTTTTCAAAGTTTGTTTCAAATAATATAATATTTGAGACAAGACAATAATTCTAAGCACAAATCGAGAATTGTACAGGAATTTATTATACAATTGATCTAAAGTGTTGCATCCTTTTCCTTAATCACCGGGTTTAAATCCGATTGAAAATTTATCATCAATTGAATCGTAACATTTGAACAATATGCATAAGAACAATAACGAAATTGAAAAAATGTTATCAGAAGAATGGGGACGTATTATAAAAAATATTTAAACAAAATTATATCTAATATGTCCAAATATTTACAGGAAGTCGTAAAACAATCTACAAAATATTAATATTTCAATAATATTGTTAAAAAATGTATATATTTATGTGTATTTGCTTACGTCTGAATATTTTTGCGATGTTGAATTTTGACATTATTTAGTTTACCGCTTATTATATAAAAATTTGTGCGTTAAATAAATAAAGTTTATGTTTCTACTAACTACAAAAAGTGTTTTAATATATTAAGAAACAATCAATTCAATAACATTATTATAAACAAATATATAAAGCAATAATCTTACGAACACTGTGGTGGCGAATATTAATGTGAATCATTGTAAGTATAATATATATGTTTTAAGTTTGATGAAAACGAGATGGAAGGTTTTATTGCATTCTAGTCACAATAAAGAAAAAGCTTCATATATTGTCATAAAGAATAAAAAATTAATGAAACCGGAAGTTGACTTCCTTTTAGTCTAATCGTTATGTTAGATAATTTTCAAACAACAATATAAATAGAATAAATAATAAATATTATGTGATAATGACAATATATCTTACGATAATAATATCAGCCAGTAATTTTCCTGGAAGTCATGAGTCATAATAAAAAAATAATAGGAAGAAATGTACACAATATCATTGTAAAGGACAGTATCGTTTAATAATGCATGGATAATATATATAATAATTTCCTTATATAAAGAAAATAAAAATAAAATATGTATTATAATAGGAATAAAAATAAAAAAAAGAAATATGTTCTAAAGAAGCACATAAAAGATATCACAAATTTAATTTCATACGAAAGTGATTCTCAGTTCGATTACGTCGTGAATTGTATACAAATCGCAGTACTAACCGCGCGTTTATATTTTCCGCACGCGACGTACGAACGCGGAAAGATAATTAATTATATTAATAGTGACATTACCCTGGATGGGTAAAAGGCAATGTTGTAAAATTGATCGTCTAAAAATGTTCTTAATTATACAGAGACAATATCTTAATTAATCGCGCGGATGAAAGAGTGCGCAAGCAATTATTTAATTCCACTTCCAGAAAGATGAAACAATCGATAATAAAATAAAAAAAGGAGTCACATATTATCATTTTCTAATTGTTAAGAAAGGCGAACGTCAAGTGCGAATTGATTAATGAACTCGCTTTTATTGTGATACGTTACATAGAATTTTATTTGTAAATTTTTTACAGATACATGAAAAATAAACAAAAATAAGAAAAAAAATTATACTTACATAAAGATTTAACTTAAAGAAGTCATAAATCTTAAATATTTGAAAATATCTGATTTTTTTATAAAAGAAATAGAAATGAGAGAAATTATAAAAAACTTAATCTAATATTATATAATTATATGATATCAAATGCAATATAATCTAAATTATATAATCTATTTTGTTCAAATATAATCTATTTAATTTACATGGAAGTTCTAACTATCCAAATTCAAATCAACTGGTGCAAATGTAGTTTAAGACAACGTATGGAATGCAAGACTCAAAACACGAAACAAAAAGTAAATAGTGTGTGCAAGCGAGTATTAATTTAATTGTAATAAAACTAGCCCAACAATAAGTTTTCATACCAATTTAAGCAACTACTTCAAGGAATTGGTTTAAGTATACAATTTAAGATAATCTGCA